GACTCTTTCATTGGGCAAGGCCAGGAGTTAATGGAATGACCTTGGTAGGGCATTGCCGATCAACATTGTCACTGACAGCTGTAAAAGAACACTTTTACAGCCACTGATATTTCCCCCCCTTTATTAATTCAATAGCCTACTCTGTCAGAGGTCACTGATGTCATCCCAATTGCCAAAACCGAAGGATTCTTTTCAGCCATTGTTCTGTTTGACTTCCTTACAGCCTTTTAAGCATTTATCTGACTCCATTCTTGAAGCTTTCTGCTCCCTTGGATACTATGCCACGTTCTCTTTTTTCCATTTCTTCCTAAATCCTTCCTTCCTTAATTGTTCCCCCTGTTCCTTTCAGATCTAGGGGTTCCTTGAACATCATCCCTGTTCTTCTGAGCTTGCATGATCCTCCATCTCCACTTCGCTCCTCCTTGTGGTACCTTTGAGCTGAGAGCTCCTAATTTTATCTCTAATCAACACCTCCTGGGGCTAACAGAACATGTGCACTTGGGTGTTCCAAAGGTGTCTAAAATGGGAGCCATATTTTCTTAATGAGTATATTTCTCCTCTTGTTTTTACTGGACACCAGCCAGTGGGTTACCCAAGTGTGACAACCTGCGATTCGTCCTACACTGGCCTCTTTTCTCATCCTCCAGATGGAGCTAGCTGCCAAGTCCCTCCACTTCTACATGCTTACTGTACTTTCAGTTCATCTCCTCCTTTCCATTCTCTCTGTCACTGCCTTGTCACTTTTTGCTCGGAGGACTGCAGTTGCCTTCTGACTTGTCTCTGTGATTGCTATGTGGATTCACTCCAATCCACCCACGACTCCCAGAGCCAGCTTTCCTTAAGAAAGTCAGAAGGTGGCTGGTTCCTCTTCACTAATCACACACTACCTTCTTGACCTCTCCTACTCAGCCACTCACCTCCTCAGTCCATTTCTCTGCTCTCTCCTTACACCTCATTTACCTAATTACTTGTAGGGCCTTAGTCTGTCATACCTCAGTGTCTTTACACATGTTTTTCCTTCTGCCTGAGAAGCAACTCTTCCCTTGCAAGATTCAAACATAAACTTTGAAACTCTTCTCTGATCATTGACCACAATATTTTTTTCTGTCCTGAGTAGAGTTAAGGCTTTCCTCTTTTCTATTCTCATAAACAAACAAACAAACAAAAAAACACCCCAAGCCCATTGCCTTACAGTGACCTCTAAGACAGAGTAGACAGGTGGTAAGACTTTGCTAGGTGCCATTGCCTCAAGTATTACTCCTGTAGACACTGTGAACAGCAGATCTGAACCCTGTGGCATCCTGTGCCTTCTTTACCATCATCTCCAACACACTTAAGCCCGTCGTTGCAGTCGCTGTTTCAATCCACCTCATTGAGAGTCTTGCTGACCCTCCACCTTGTCACACATGATACCAATTATCAAAGAAGCTCTTTCTCTTCATGTTGAGTGAGTTCCAATAATCTGGGCTGTACATCCAAGAGGGCATTTCTCTATTGTTCATAGGGTTTCCAGAGGCTTGTTATTTCTGAAGCGGATGACCAATCTTGCTTCCTAGTCTATCTTAATCTGAGAGTGTTGCTGAAACCTGCCCACCATAATTGACCCTTCTGGTACCCCAAACACCAAAAATATCAAGTCTATAGTGGGTGAACAAACAGCCATGTCTTGAAGAAGGTACAGCCGGAGTGCTCTTTGGAGGCAAGAATGATGAGGCTTTGCCTCACATACTTTAGACATGTTGCTAGGAGGTGCTATTCCTCGGAGAAAGACATGATGTTGGGAAAGGTGGAGAATCCGAGGGAGAGGAAGACCCTCAATCAGGTGGAATGATACAGTGACTGCTGCAATGTGTCAGCAAGTGTGAGGATGGCACAGGATAGAACAGGATTCAGATAGTTTGTTCATAGGATAGCTATGCCCCTAACAACAACAATAATGGGTGTAGTACATGGGAGCTTTTTTAATGTAGGCCTTGGGGAGTTGTGGGGCTAATCCAAAGGTCTCTGGGGGTTTGAATTCACGCTCAGTTTTACAGGAGAAAGATGGGGAATGGCTTCTTGTGTGATTTAAAGCCTTGAAATCTCGCTGGAGGGTCAGCTATTAGATGGTTCTGGCTGGAAGTCAGTAGATGAATGAGTAATAGTAGGTATCCTTCTGGTTTTCCTTACAGCTTTTCTCATTGGGCTGTGACCCAATGAATCCAAAAGACTAGAAGACGTATTTATCTTTATTTTCCCAACCCCTTTGATGCAACTTACACCCTAAATGGCTGTGTTGTTTTAGAAAGACGTGAAATGAAGATCTAATAGGTTAATGGGTATTAGATTTTTCTAGCAGCATAACTGCGTGTAACTTATTGCATTATTTTAAGCAATTTAAATGGCTATTTCTCCCACAAGACAGTGCAGAGTTCTTTGTCTTCAGGATCTCAAAACCTTCTATGACACCTGACACATGATGGTTCGGACTAAATAAATGGAAACAACTTCTTTATTTAGAGCAGGCCCGCTGCCTAAGCAGCTGAATATCCTGGACGCCCTCTCCCTGGGGGTTCAGCGCGGCTCCCCCTCAGCGGCCGCAGGTGAAGGGCAGTCCAGCTGCTCTGCCCCGGGCTGGGCTGGGCGGCCGCCTGCGCGCCTGCGCCCTCTGCCGCTCGGCTCCGGGCGCGCCTCCGTGCGCGTGTGTCTGTTTGGAGAAGAGAGGCTTGGGTGACAAGCAAAGGGTGTGGGGGGGAAGAGTTCAACCTGAGTCACAGTCTCATTGACGGATTTCTCTCCACCGCTGGGCCGAGGCTGTCTCCGCAGGCAGCTCCCACCATCCCCCGCCGCCCTCGGTTCCCGGCCCCCAGTTCCACGCGCAGGCTGCCGGATTGACGCGCGGGCTCGCCAGTGAGTAGTAGAGGCTAGTGAGCCCGGGCAGCGGCCGCCAGCTCTCCTGGGGTTCTCTCCTTCTGCAGTCTTCTCCTCCTCCTCCCTCTCTCTCTCTCTCTCTGTGTATAGGGGTGTCCCTGGGATTCCACGCCGACTCAGAGGGTTCCCTCCCAGGATCCATGGATCCTTCTGAGTCTGAGCGGCGGAGCGGGTGCTTGCCCAGGAGATGGCTCAGCTGCCCCAGGCGCGGGGAGCGAGTTTGCAGGGATTCCTAGGCTTCCGAGCTCGGCGGCCGATGGGGTTCCCCGGGAAGGCACCTCTGCGAGGAGGCGGCGGGGAAGCCCGAGGAGGCTCGCGGCTCGCAGAGCGGGATCTGGGGCCGGGTCGGCCACCGCCGAGCCCAGCGAGACGCCGGGGCAGCTGCCTCTCGCCGCCTGCCTCTGCTCCTTCCTCTCTCATCCTTTGGTCCTTTCTTTCCTCACCAGCATCACAAAGGCGCGCGGCGGGCTGAAACCCAATGTAGCGTGGCCGACTTGCCCACCTCCCCACCGGGGTGCTCGTTTTCCGGGGCCAGAGGAGTGAGGTGGGGTCCCGGAGATTGGGGCCGGATTTCACCCCGGGGGCACACCTGTTTTCGGCTCTTGGAGAATTCATGCTGAGAGTACGAGCGCGCGGGCGATTCTAACACGTACCCGCTGTGCTGTGTGTGTGTGAGTGTGTGTGCACGCGCACGCTCCCGGGCCCACGCTCGCTGTGTGCGCTCCATGTGAACCCGCAAACCTCGCCGGCGGCCCCGCGGGGGACGGGCGGGTGCCGAGGCTCCCGGGCCCCGCTGGGACAGTGTCCCGGCATCTCTTTGTTTAGTTGTGGCTTCCTCGCCCTCCACAGCGCAAATTGATTTTCGGTTTCCCTCGACACGGCGCGCTGGGACCAGGCGTGTGTTGCAGCCTCGAATGCCCCTGGTGTTTGTAATTGAATAGTTCTCCGGAGCCCGGCGCGCGATGGGGTGGGGAGGTGCGGGTGCTGTTATTTTTAGTGCTGGGAATAAAGGGACAAGTCCACTTATCCTCCCCTCCCTTGGCTTTGAATACATGTTTCCAGTTGATGGAGCAGACTGCTTTCGCATCCAGTCTCTCACACGTGCCTGTGCACTAGTCTGTATGCACATTTCCACACATGTAGGTGATTTATTTCTTTATTGGGACTGAGCATGCATTGTGCGTTTGTGGGGGGGGGGGGAAGGGTGGGGGGAACCAACCCAGAAAACTTTCCTTTGTTCTTTTGGGCATTTTCTATTTTGAGTAATAGAGTAGGAGTACAAAAGGGTTGCAATTAGTTCACTGGAATAAAAGACACTGCCTCTGAGTCAGAGCTGCCAGGTTAATAATTATTAACATATAAAAGCAGATGTGTTGTTTAAGGGAAAGGGGGCGGGGCGGGGGCAGGTCCGCCGCAGACAATGAGGGAGGGTCTCTGCCCACCGCCTGCTGCTTATTGTTCCGGGACTGGAGGTGGCCGCTGGCAGCTGCCCCCTCCTCCGGAGCTCTGCTTTCCTCTTTCCCCGCCGTCCTCCCCGGAGACCATCGGGGTCACCCAGAGTCGGCCCCCCGGGGAGCGGGGACGCCGGCTCCGGCCATTCTCTGACAGATCTCTCTCTGCTTTGTAGATTGACAGCTTCGCGCCGGAGGGTGCGAGGAGCCGAGGCGGCGAGGACCCAGCCTGGTGCCATGTGGCCTGCGCAGCGGTGCTAAGTGCCCCACGCTGGGAGCCGGGCGCACTCGCTCCAGGCGACCGGCCGAGGGATGCGCAGCGGACGTGGACGGCGCCGGCCGCGAGCTACCGCCCCGAGGTGGACGCCAAGCAGGGCTCATCGCTGGACCGCACGGACCGCTGACCTCCGGGGCACGCGGCTGGGGAGCCTCGGGGCCGCGTCTGCGGTCAGGATGCCCTGCGTGCCTCACTGCTGGTGAGGATGCCCTGCTGCGCGCCCCTGCATCCCGGCTGTGCATCCCCAGCCTTCGTCCCTGGGTGGGCACAAGTGCCTGGGCCCGGCTGTGGCCCCCTGTGGCGGTGGATGAAAAGCCCCAGAGTCCTTGGGCGCGCTCAGCTCGTGAATCAGAGGAAGAGCCATGGATGAAGGCGGTGGACTGGAGCGCCCGGCGGGAGAGCAGCTGCAGGCACTGGCCACGGAAGGAGCTGGCCAGGAGAAGTGCGAGCCGGAGACGGTTCGGTCCAAGAGTTTACCGGCCCTGAACAGCACCTCCTGCCGGCCGGAGCGCAGTTCCGCGGGTGTAGACGCCAAGCCTGCCTTCAAATGCACGAATTCTTTGGATCACCAGGAATTGCTGCAAGGGCCCGGCCCGTTGACCCCCAGCACTTCGGCCCAGTCCCCGTCGGTGGGGATGGCGGATTGTAACCACCGAGTGGACATCAGCAAAGCCGTGTCCGTGTCCTCCACTCTGGCTACACTGCAAGGGCGCAGATGCCTCTACCTGGTCCTCACGGATTCCCGATGCTTCCTGGTTTGCATGTGCTTTCTGACCTTCATCCAGGCACTGATGGTCTCCGGCTACCTGAGCAGCGTCATCACCACCATTGAAAGGCGCTACAGCCTCAGGAGTTCCGAGTCGGGGCTGCTGGTCAGCTGCTTTGACATCGGGAGCCTGGTGGTGGTGGTGTTCGTCAGCTACTTCGGAGGCCGAGGACGGCGGCCCCTGTGGCTGGCTGTGGGCGGCCTGCTCATCGCCGTCGGGGCTGCCCTTTTCGCTTTACCTCACTTCATCTCCCCTCCGTACCAGATCCAAGAGTTGAACGCTTCGGCCTCCAACGACGGCCTGTGTCAGAATGGAAACTCCACGGCCACTTGGGAGGCTCCGACTTGCCTGAAGGATTCGCGAGGGAGTAATCACTGGGTCTATGTGGCTTTGTTCATTTGCGCACAGATTCTTATTGGAATGGGCTCCACACCTATTTACACCCTGGGACCAACCTACTTAGACGATAATGTCAAGAAAGAAAATGCATCCTTGTACTTAGGTAAGACTTTCCTGTCCTAGGTGGTTTAAGAGACCCTTAAATAAGGTTGAATTCTCACTGAGGCTTAGCTTTCTTCCAGAAAAGCATTTTCCTTGAGTATTTTTCCATATTAGGGCTAAGTTTATGTTTTACTCTAGTGTGGCATGTTTTCAATTTGGTAGAGAATCAATTACTTGGATAGGTTTGAATGAATTTTCAGGTTGATTTTCACCCTTGTCTTTTTCCAAGTAATGTGAACTTTTAATGAAGCTTCTCTGCCCTGCTGCCTACTTTTGAAAAAGCTCTAACGTAACCAAGTTTTATATTCAAACAGGGCCGTTCTAGAAGGGTCCAGGTAGAAACAGTGAATGGGGTTTGGGGTGGTCTCTTGTTTACATCTGTTTCTGCGTCTCATTCACTATCCTGATGGCAGGCGTAATGGAGCAGCTCCATTATGTAAAACTTACTTTTAATGGTCTTCATGATTAAAACATCAAAAAATGAAAGAAACTTTAAAAAAGTCAGATAACTCAGTTATCATTATGTAGAAGCCACATCATAAATTAGTTTTAAGCTTTATCCAAAGCCATTTTTATTGTTAGGTATCGTTGGTAGAAAATCTCATTGTTGATGATGTTGTTATGTGCTATTGAGTGACCTGCAACTTATGGCCCTATGTATATTAGCTCTGAAAGCTGTGCTATCCTTAGCCTATTTCATCATCTCAGACAGACCTAATCCCATTGCTTCAGTCACTGAGTCAATCCATCTCATACTGGGGTCTCCCTCTCTTGCATTGTCCTTCCACACTTCCAAGCTTGAATGAAAATATCATAATTACTTTAAAAAGATATTGGTTTGCATACAGAACTCATATATATTGTTTCACACGTTCCTTCATTTATATCATGTTTCAAATGATCATTCCCATACATTGCGTTTTAGAAAATTACTTTTTAGGAAGCTCTTGTGGTCTAGTGGAAAGAAGCTGTGCTGTAATTCTGAAAGCATGCAGTTCGAATCTGTCACATTCTCTGCTGAAGGAGGAACAATCTACTCCTGTGCCAGTTGCATCTGATTCCACCATACACAACAAGAAAATACAAAAACAAAACAAAATTACTTTTTGATGCAAGGTAATAGCTCTGTGATTCGTGTGTTTAAGTGTATGAATCTGGCCAAGTGGGCAGCTGTGATTGGGTTAAGTTTGGGGCTCATGTAGGGCCTTGGGTTCAGTGCCTGGGAAGGCTGACTTCTTCCTAGAGTTCTGTGTGGTTCTCTTCACTTCCCTGCACTAGCTGCTCTTTCTAGGCTGAACTTCTGTAGAATGAATTCAGACGATTTATAGGCTAAATAGGCGGATACATCTTTGTTTTCTATTCCTCTACTGGAGTCCCACTAAAATCCAGTATCTTTACAGGATTTTATTTTAAAAAGCATAAAATGATAAACAAACAAGTATTAGCTGAGTCTAAGGAGCCCTGGTAGTTAAAGTACATAATGAGTTGGGCTGTTGACCTAAAACTTGTCTGTTCAACCCCACAGCTCATCTGTACCTACCTTGTCTGCAGTAAAGGAGCTCCATGGCCTCATCTATAGGTGTGCTGCTAACCCAAAGTCTGTGTCTCTCTGGTGGTTCAAATCCACAAACAGCTTTGCAGGAGGCAGATGGACAGTTTCTTCCTATGCAATTTACAGCCTCTGAAATCTGCTGGAGTGTTAGCTATGAGTCGATTCTGGCTCGATGCCAATGAGTTTGAGAGTTTTGCCTTCCTTGTTTTCTCATATTTATTACAACCAATTTTCAAACATATAAGAGAGTTAAAAAGAGTAGTGTGATAAACACCAATATTACCTAGGGTCAAGAGTTGCTCATTATCTTTGCTTTACTGATATGTATGTGTAGAAGTTTTTTATAAGCCTTTTGAAGGTAACTGCAGGTACCACTATACTCCACTTTAAATGTGTTAATGTGAGTTTTCTAACATGTGTATGCTGCTACACTTTTATATTACTACATTAGCAGTCTAAGAAAGTTAGTAATTGTTATGTCAAATATACACTTCCTATTTAAATGTCCACAATTGGCTTTTCTAAATCAAGGTTCATTCACACATTGTATTTGGCTGTTAAAGCTTTTTAGCATTCTACAGTCTAGAAAAAGGATTCAACACTTTTTTTCTGTGACATAGGCTGTTTGAAAAGACAAGGCAAGTTGGTTTGTAGATTGTTCCACATTCTCGACATATCTGATTATTTCCTTATGGAGTCCTTCACTCCTTATGTTTACTGGGAGTCCAGCCCGAAGGCCTGATTATATCCAGACTGCATGCTTTTGGGTAAGGTTTCTCAGTAAGTGATACGTGTGCCTCATATCTGGCTATGCATCCAAACTCATTCGAGTTGGTTCCACTTCATAGCTGACCCTCTGTGGTTTACAGAGGCTGAAATCACACAAGAGGAGGCTGCCCATCTCTCTTTCTTGGAATTGCTGGTGGGTTCAGACTGCCAGAGAAGTGCTGCTTTTGGGTTAGCAACACAGTGCCCTCCAAGCTACGCCACCTCCAACCATCTACCTATATACATGTGTGAATGAATATACATGCATCCATAATGAACATGCAAGTGTAATTTATTAAATGATAAGTTACAGAGTATAATTTATGAATAGAATAAACCCAGTTTTATTTCATCCTCTCAATGGCCTCATAAGATGGCATTTACGTTTGACGGATGAGAACTCTGAGGATCAGAAAGGTGAGGTTACATGCCTAAGAATATATGTTGATGCCATCATCAGGTTTCCAAAACACGCCTATGACTGTGAGCCATGACCTTCTCCTTCTCCTTCCTGTGAGCCAGGGAAGCTGGGCACAACTGAAACCCACGGATGTGCCACGTTCAGCAGTGCTTCTAGGATGGTGCAGAAGAATGTACAACCAGGCTAATGAGAGCAAAACAAAGTCAGAATGAGATGATTCTCTCAGCCTTTTAAAGTAGACTTTATAGGCTACCTCTGTGCCTGTTTGAATCAGAGACAAGACTGTGTTCTTAGAACACAAACAAGCTAGAAATCAATTATGATGTGAGATGTCCCCCTAATAAGTAACTGGTTAAAGTTTCTTTGTTACTTTTCACAAAACTGTTCATCTGTATTGCCTTCTTTCATCTTTATCTTCCTACCAGTCTTTTTAATTTCTCATTTAAAGGACACAAGGTTAGTCACTGTGCATCTAACTCAGTCTCATAAGGACCGATGATGTATTAGACCATATTGTAGAAACAGATAATAAAACATATATGAGGATTCAAGGGGGGAGGGTGTGGCTGGAGGGGTGAGGATGGATGGGGAAATCACAGGGTCACACTTTGGTGGGTGCAGGGAGGGGGTAAAGGAAATGGGAACGATCTGGCAGGGATCTGGAAAGATGGTAATAGTGGGCATAGCTCAGTGGTGATTAATTTTTTAAAACATAATGAGTGATAATGTATGAAACACGGTGTGAATGAAAGCTAAAATGAAACACAATGTTATACAAACCTTGTGGGCAAACCAATATAAAATAAAAATTAAAACAAATAAAAAAAAATGAAAGCACAGAGAGGAAAAAATTGTATCATGTAGCAGGTTAGTAATTGCAGACAGGAACAAATACCTGAATTCATGTTAAAGCTGTTGAAATGGCCTGTAACTATAGATCCTAGTCTTTTGAAAGTTCTAGGTTACCATTCTGGCAGCAGTAAATGCAGAAATGATGTGTTCATGGAAGAGATACTGCAGCGTTTATTTCCACTAAATACTTACCTCTCAAAAGAAAAGAGGTCTAGTGTTGACCTAGAGCATAGAGGAAGCTTTGTAGGTGTTAGGAAGTGATGTTAATAATTACACCATTATATGTAATTGTATCTCAAGAAGAGAGAGAGAAAATATGAACCTTTGGGGGGTGAGAAATTCATGAACCAATAGGGAAAAGAGAAAGGCTGCCTAAGCATGTGGGAATGGGAGAAAAGGAATAAAAAGCCACAACTGCTGTTGGAGTGTTATTCAGGATAAGTGATGACTGCTATGGTGTGGTCATCAGCCAGACAGCATGGACACCAGCCATTACGCCCTCCCTGTTAGCCATGGCTTCGGACCCCAGAGGAGGCATAGAAAGACTTGGTGCCTTAGAAAAGCACTGGATAAGGGGACAGACAAATCCTGATTTAGTCCAACCATAATAAGTACTGCTCATGGAACCTTACCCAGAACTCTTTTTGACATGCAGGTGTTTTAGTTTCTCAGGATGGCCATAGCAGAAGCACTACAAATAGATGGCTTTAAAGAACAGAATTTCGTTTCTCATGGTTTGTAGGTAGGTGCTGTTGAGCTGACTTATGCTTGTTAAGACCCTGAGAGCAACACAATCTGAACCTTACACAATCCTCCGACACCCTCACTGTCTCCGATATGTTCAAGTCCATTGTTGCAAATGCTGTGTCAATGCATCTCTTTGAGGGTCTTCCTCTCTTGTGGTGACCTCCACCTTTCTCAGCTTGATGTCTTTTCTCAAGGATTGACCCTTCCTGACAGTAAACTCAGAGGATGTGGGATAAAGTTTTGCTGTCGCCATCTCTGAGCAGCACCCTGGTGGCCTATCCTCCAAGACAGCTTGGTTTGTTCTCTTGACAGTCCAAGGGATATCCAGTACTTGTCACAGACAGTCCAGGAGGTTGGAAGTCCAGGTCTGTGGAAGGAGCGGTCCCTGTTGACTCTTCAAGGAGGCTTCCATCTCAATATATTATTCCAGCACCACAGCAGTGTAGGAGCTGTAGAGAGTAGATTAATTGCTGATACTTTTGCCCTTAAATAACCTTTATACCTTAAACCAAAATTAGAATCTGAAGTCATGGTTAGACTGTAATAGCTTAGCTTAACTAGTGAAAAAGATCTGCTTACAAAAGTTTAAAATTTTAAGAACTATCTGTTGTTGTTATGTACTGTTGGTTGAATCAGAACTGACTCACAGTTGACCTCCCAG